TTTGGGTTGTTTCCAAAGCTTAGCTATTGTAAACAGTGCTGCTATAAACATAGGGGTGCAGGTGTTCTTTGGAATTGATGTTTCTGTGTCCTTTGGGTAAATACCTAGGAGTGTAATTGCTGGATCATATGGAAGCTCTATGTTTAGTAGGTCCAGAAATCTCCACACAGCTTTCCACAGTGGTTGGACCAGTTTGCACTCCCACCAGCAGTGCAGAAGAGTTCCTTTTTCTCCACACCCTCGCCAACATTTGTTGTTGCTAGTTTTTTTAATATGTGCCATTCTCACTGGTGTAAGATGGTATCTCATGGTAGTTTTGATTTGCATTTCCCTGATGACAAGTGATGTTGAACATTTTTTCATATGCCTGTTGGCCATTTGCATTTCCTCTTCAGAGAAGTTTCTTTTTAGCTCTTCTGCCCATTTTTTGACTGGATTATTTTCTTTGTTGTTGTTGAGTCTCATCAGCTCTTTGCAGATTTTTGTGATCAGTCCTTTATCATTAGTGTTGGGTGCAAAAATGTTCTCCCAGTTGGTGGGGTTTCTCTTTGTTTTTGTTATTGTCTCTTTTGCTGTGCAGAAGCTCTTTAATTTGATGTAGTCCCAGCTGTTTATCTTCGCCTTCACTATCACTGCTTTGGGTGATGTGTCTGTAAAGATGTCTTTGATGTGCAAATCACGTAGTGTTTCGCCTATATTTCCTTCTATATATTTTATGGTTTCAGGTCTTATGTCTAATTCTTTAATCCATTTTGAGTTGATTTTTGTGTATGGTGTGAGGTAGTGGTCAAGCTTCATTCTTTTGCATGTAGCGACCCAGTTTTCCCAGCACCATTTATTGAACAAACTTTCTTTGCTCCAATGCATAGTCTTTGCTCCTTTGTCAAAGATTAGTTGACCATAAATCTGTGGGTTTATTTCTGGATTTTCTATTCGATTCCATTGGTCTGTATGTCTGTTCTTGTTCCAATACCATGCAGTTTTGATAATCACCATTAATATCCTTTTTCTGTTCCAGAGTCTATTTCTCCCTAGTCACCTTTGCCCTGTTCCTTTCTGTCGTTCCTATTTTTCGCGCTCTGAATGGTTTTGGAGAAGGCTGGTTAGGGATTTTGTAGGAAACCTTCATTCCACCTAGTGACATGGGTTTCTCAGTATTCAGTAGGGGCCAAGGGGCTGCTGGAGCAGGGAACCACAGAGGTGCAGCCCACTTCCCCACGTCGGGTGTCAGGGCTGCGCCATGTCCACCTCAGCATTGGTGATGACGTCAAAGCTTTGCATGAGGTGGCAGCTGGCCAGTTTTTTTCCAATCTGTACTTTTTAGACATGAGTCTTTAAGCCCGTGGAGTGGCCACCGCGTGGACACACTGAATTCCTTTCAGGGGCCTTTGGACCGGGGAAGTGTAGTTCATGGGGGTGGGGCTGAGAAGTGTGTTTGGGCACCGCTGTGGATGGAGTTGCCTACATCCTCCTCCTGCTTTCTTTCCCTTTATAGCTCTTCCCCCACCTGGCAGTGTGTACATTTCCTGGTTTATCTTGTCTCCACCCCGGAGAAAGCAAGCTCTGCGGGCAAAGGGACTTTGCTTTGTTGACAGCACATTTTCTGACTCTCTAAAGGGGATACCATGAAATTCATGATTAGGTTCATTGAAAGAGGCTTTAGGTGGCAAGCACAGAACAGGCCAAGTATCCAGATGACTCTTGCCTGGCTTCTGGCCTGCTCCCCTGTGCCACAAACAATACTTGGCATTGGCTGAATTTCTACAAACCACGTGGGCTATGCGGACATTCCACTTCCCACCTTTTTAACTCAACAGTGTATTGTTGAGATTTGCCCCTTGATAAAAAATGCGTAATGGGCCCAGGTGTGCCAGCAGGGGCATGTGTGCTGCAGGGGGTATCTGGCAATGCCCGGAGATATATTCTGTTGTCACTACTGGAGATGGTCCTAACGCTGTCTAGCGATGGAGGCCAGGTTTGCTGTCAAACATCCTAGAATGCTCATCTCCCGACATAGAATGATGTGCCGCTAGCCAGCCCTTGAGAACCCTGGGCCGCTTCTTCCTTTAATCTCGGCACGGCACTTGTCCCCTTGAGAACACACACCGGATGCGCCTTGTCCAGTGGCCTGTGGGTGGACATTTAGGTTGTTCCAATTCTGTATTCTGATAGAGTGCTGCAAAGAGCATCCTCACCAACGTGCGTGTGCACGTGCGCACGAGTGCTCAAGGAAACACTGGAACTGCTGCCACACGCAGCTGGGCCCACACACACCCACAGCACTGCCTGGGATTCCAGTTCTCCGCACCTCTACCAGCATTTGGTTTTATTTAACCTTTTAATTTTTGCCAAGCTGAAGAGTTTAGATGTGTGGCTCATTTGAAAGGATTTGCATTTTCTGAATGCCAATGAGGCCAAATCCTGAATAATTCACTCCCCACAGCATTCTACAAACTCAGGGTCATATACTGCCAAGGGGGCTGCACTTGGTTTTGTTCATCTCTGAATTTATCTGTATTGTAAAAGTGTGTTTCCTGGGAGACCAAGCTGGGCTGTGTCTGCCAGCAGAGGTCGCTGTCCCTCAGGGGTTCTCCACCAGTGTGGTTTGACCCTACCCCACCATACCCCCTTGTACCCCCACCCCTCCCTGGGGCTTCTGACAATCACTGGAGACACTTTTATTTTCTCAGGGTGGGCATGCCTGTGGCACCTAGAGGCCAGAGGCTTCTTCTGCTCAAACCCTAATGCAGAGGACAGCACGCAACACAGCAAAGAAAATGTGGGCCCAAATGTTCAGGGTGTCAGGGGGGGAGACCGCAACGTGTGAATCGTTCCGAGAAAGACGAGGACACGCTCTGGGGTGATAAAGCCACCGTTGTTATTGCAAATGCGGATCAACTGGAGACGTGAAGTGGTCGGGGAAGCACCTTCCGCAGGGGGGTTTGGAATGGCGGGGCGGTGGGCAGGAAGAAGCCGAGGCTTTGACAGCAACCAGGTGTGCTGGAGCGGGTCTGCAGGGCAGAGGGGCAGGGCCTGCAGGGCAGAGGGGCAGGGCCTGGGTCGGGGGAGACGGGGTCAGACTGGCAAGGGCGAGCGCAGGGGCCAGGCGTCCAGAGAAGTGCGGGGGGCAGTCCAGGGGCTGCAGCGCGTCAGGGCGCGGGGCGTTCGGGCGGCGTCCCCGGCCGGCGGTGTTCCTGCAGAGGCCTGATGAGCACCCGCGGGGGGCTGGTGGCCCGGCGCGGCGCCAGCCTCCTCCTGCCGGCGGCGGGGTCGGCGGCGCCGGGCGGGCCTGGCCGCAGGGGCCCGGGTCTGGGCACGAAGGTGGCCAGCACGCCGTCGCGCCACAGCGGCCGGAAGGCGGAGGGCCGCGGCTCGGCGCTCCCGCTGGCCCTGGCGCTCCGGAACCACAGCGGCCCGCCGCCGCCCTGCCTGCACTTGTGGCAGCGCCGCGCGAGCGCCCACTGCAGCCGCGCCTCCCGGGCCCTGGGGTCGGGCCGCGGCGCGCCGAGGGACGCGCTGGGCCGGTGCTGCAGCCGCGCGATCTTCAGCGTCACCTGGTTGCGGCCGCGCCGCGGGCAGCGGGCCTTCCACTGCCACTGCTGGGCGAAGACCTGGGCCTGCAGCGCCACGTCGAGCCCCTCGGCGCCGCCGGCGGGCGCGCCCGGCGGGCGCAGGCAGGCGTCGGGGCCCGCGGCCCCGAGGAGGACGGCGTAGTCGCCGTCGGGCGGCAGCGTGGGCAGCGGCTGCGAGCGCAGCCAGGGCTCGGGCGGCAGGTAGACGACCGGGCACGGCTCGGCCTCCAGGCGGCGGAAGGCGGGCCGGCGGCGCGGGCCGGGGCTCGGGCCGGCGCGGGGCAGCAGCGCGGTCTTGGCGCGGCTCAGCAGCCGGCTCAGGTAGCCGCCCATGATGGCGCCGCGGCCTGCGGCGTCGAGGCGGGCGGCTGGCGGGCGTTCTGGAAGCCGGGCCGGCCAGTGTGATGGGCGCGAGAACGCGGGCTGCGCTGACGTGGGCCCGGGCACGGGGTCGCGCACGTGACGGGCGGCGCCGCGCGGGCAGGGCCGGGCCCGGGAGCGGGTGGCCGGCGCGTGGCTCCCTCGGGCCTCGCGGCTCCCTCGGGCCTGGCACGCGGCCCCGCCGGGCGGGAAGCGGCCCCGCGGCCCACGGGCTGGGAAACCCGCGGGAAACGGCGCGAGGGCGCGTCCTCTCCGCCTCGCCGGGGGCCCCCGACACGCGCGCGTCCTGCTCTGTGGCCGCTACAGCTCCACGGCCTCGCCGTCCTCTGCAAAGGCGGCGGGTCTTTTATTCTAGAATGCTGGTTTTTGATTCCACTTTTAGATAACTGGCCTCTGTGGAAATAGTGAAAGCTGCTCACTATTTATCATTTTGGAGCACCAACTTTCTCTTAGAATTTTCAGTCTTTCTGCCTCAGATTAGAGCATCTCTCACCTCTAAAGCCATTTCTTCCTGTCATTTCACCTGTAATCCATGAATGCCGACGAGAGTGCAATTTGTGGTTGGAGTGCAGGTAACTTCAAAAAAGTGTTCATCCTCTTGGCAAATATTGTGGCCCTTTGTTTGGAGGTCTGTTGTTGGGCTGGGCGACTACTAGGGCGGCGGGAGGGATAGAAATGGTGACCAACGGAGCAAGTATTGGATCAAGAATGTGTAACACATTTGTCCGGATGAGGCAGGACACAGAATGAAGACCCTCAAGAGGGCTTGATGAGGGAACACAGATCTGTGGTTCAGAGAGACGCTGCATGTCGGGGCAGCAGGGTGCTGGCAGATCCCAGGTGATGGGGAATGAGATTTCTAATGTTCTCCATGGACTAATTCTTTTCTCCTGTTTTGATAGACTCATTTAAGGAGTGATCCCCAAGATATTTTCATGCATGTCTAAGATGCCTCTTAAAGTGGCAGTAACACCAGAGTGAGTGCATGGTCTAATGCCATTGGGTATTATTTTCTAATAGCCTATTTTTTCTTCTCTTCATCTGCAGTATTTCCCAAGTCCTACTTTGCAATGCAACCCAGCGGGTGTCATTCTGGTTTGTAGTTACAGACCATACAAAAAGTCACACCCTTCCTGCTGCTGAGGTACAGTCAGCCATAAGGTAATCACTGCTTAATATGCCTTCTACTGGTAAATCGACTTGTTGATTTATTCAACTCTTCATTGATATTAAAGAATTCTCTCTGCTTCACAGTCATCTGTTAAGGTGTCAAAGATGTCATTTTGTTAGTTTTTATTAGAGATTAGTGTAGATCATTGTTTCTCATCTGGGGTGATTTTGCCTTCAATGAGACATTCACAGTGTCTGGAGATATTGGGTGGTGGGTGAGGGGCATCACGATTGGGAAAGTGGTGCCACCATCATCAAATAGGCAGAAAAGTAAGGGATTCTGCTAAGCATCCGTCTATACACAGGACAGCACCTCATACCAAAGAATTATGCAACCCTAAATGTCATTCGTGCTGTGCTTGAGATAGTCTGGCTTCACTATTAGCCAAGAATGTTTATTATTGCTTCTCAGGCCAGAATGCCTCCTGTAGCACATGTTCATTGCACAGATTCAAGAGCTGGCATGCTTAGGTTTTTGATCCTGGTTTTGCCTCTTGCCAACTATTTGAACACAGACAAGTTACTTCCCCTCTTTTTGCCTTCCTCTTAGCATCTATAAAATGGGAATAATTATGGTATCACTCTCTCAGAGTTGTCCAGAAGACTAAAGGAGTTAATAAATGTAAGGCATTTTGAGGGACAAGTCGCATCTTTGACTTTTATTTAAAAATCAAGAAAACTATTCCTATTTCTTGGGCTTTGTAGGGGCAGAAGGGGCACAGCAGGTTTTCTGTGATTTGGCAGACGGGTAAAGGAGAGTCCTGGAGCCCTCAGTGGCTTTCTCAGGCTTTTATTGAGCTTTTACATTTAGTGCAGCAACAAAGTACACAGCAGGCAGGGGTGCTGGGGGGCCAGGAGGCTGAGGCCCCCAGCAAGTCTTCACTCTGGGCTTCTCTGGCCTTCTTTCTCCCCTTCTCTCCAGTTCTTTCTCCTGCTTCTTTTCTCCTGCCTCTGCTTCTCTTGGCCAGTATCTCAATACCGCTGCCATGGCCCACAGAAGTAAACAATATAATTTATAACTATGTAACATGCAGGTGCCCACCATTAGGCATGCAATCCTAATGGTGGGAGGGCAGAAAAGCCTGAAAATCATTTACCCTACAGGCCTCTTAGGATTTATCTTTAGTCAATGTGTGGTCTTTACCTTTAAAAGATACTGTTTTTGAAAAAGGTACATACAAATTAAAAATAAATGCCATCAAAGACTATTATCTTATTAATTAATGAGGGAACTAGTGAGATGTTAAACCGGGTGGACAGGAGACTTTGAGAAAACACAAGTACACAGGAGTCGATCAATGGAAAAGTTCACTTACCCAGCTTACACCAGTTTATCCACCAGTAATCAACACTGCTCCTCCACTGTGGACAACAATCATTTATGTTGTGTCCGTTTTCTGCAAGGCATAGATTTGCAAAGTAATCCAAAGACAATGAAAGTTGGAAATTATCCAGAAAGGCGCGCTCACTGGATCATCAGTAATATTTTTTGCCCATTTCAAGTTTTGCAGTTTTCCTGTCTGTTTCCTTCCTCCTCTCCTTGTGATCATAACAAACTTTCAAAAGAAGCAGGATCCAATTTGTTTTTTTCAGTGAATGCACACTTTATGTGTGTCAGAACTTCAAAATGTCACACACGATTGATGTTGCACAAAGCTGTGTTTGGAAGAACAACTTCAGGAAATAAACCATTCCCCCCCCAAAGAAGGAATGAAGCAAAGTAATTTTCACAAAGGATTTGCAGGTTACTGAAATGCTTATTATTGAGAAATAGTTGAAGAACTCATGCTCTCTGTGAAATATTAACATTTAAGATAATACGTAGGTGATCAAATGCCAAAGGTTTTCGTGTGAGCAATCTTCTGTTTCCCTTACTGAAGCAAAGGCATTGCAGGTCTGTACCAATGGGAAATAATTTAATTTGTTCTAGCAAGAAAATTTGAATCAAATTGTTTCTGTACTTTTGCCATTAAGAATATTGTTAAGGGCCTCCCTGGTGGCGCAGCGGTTGAGCGCTGGGTTGCGAAGCTGCCTGCAGCCTCTGCGGCGCCGGTTCGATCCCTGGCTGCTCCCCTGCCACCAGAGGAGGATTCCACATGGTGCGCAGACCTCTCCTGCCGCCCGCTGCTCCCCTCAGCAGTGTACTTTGGCCCTTCTGCCTGCTCTGCTCCCCCCTCTGGCTCTGGTGAATTCTCTCACCCTCCCGCGCTTCTGACTGTACCCAGTGCATGTATAAACAAAACAAACAAACAAATAAAATAAATAAATAAATAAAAACATGCCTCTATAAAAAAAAAAAAAAAAAAAAAAAAAGAATATTGTTAAGACTCACCACTTAGGGTTTAAGAATGAGGGAATATCATGTTTCATGTAAAAAGGATTTCGTGAGTGCCCCATGATCTGGGTGGGCTAGAAGGAAAATGAAGGCGCTGTGCATATCTTTAGGGCCTAGACCAGCGCTGCCCCATGCAGGAGTCACCAACCACATGTGGCTCTGGAGCTCTTGAAGTGTTGCTTGTTCAGAGTTAGATATGCAACGTTTGTAAAGGACACACCAGATTTCAAAGACTTAGCCCAAAACGAAGTGTAAACCAACTCAGTATTGGTTGCACATTGAAATTCTGTTTTCTTGGCTATATTGGGCAAAAATATATTATTAAAATATCACCTATTTATGTTTTTAAAAATACAACTCCTAGAAAAGTTTAAGTCATACATGAACCTCACATTATGTTTCCTGTTTTCCAGTGCTACTCTAAGGGTAGGTGCAATCAGCTTGTCTATTGTGAATTCAATAAAGGCCATAGAATATTTCCAAGAAATAGCCTCTTCTAGTTTGCAAATTACAGTTAGAAATTCACATATTTGGTTTCAGTCAAATGAATCTTTACTATCAACCCCTCTCTAACTGCCGCCACCACCCAAACTGCCGATTTCCCCCAGGAAAAGTCACGTATTTACCTTTATATGTATTTTTTTGGCTTCTGGATTCCAAAAGCACCATTTACTTTATTATTTTTTTTTAAATAATAAATTTTATTTTTATATTCCCCATACAATTGCAGCCCCCCCCATTCTGACCCCAATCCCTCCCCTCCCGCCCCTCACCCCCCAAAAAGTGTCTCTGGTTCATAGTTTTTTGTTGATTTTGATTTTTACTTTCTTATAGTTATTCATTTTCCTGGTCCCTTATTTAAGTTTTCTAGATTCCTGCTATGAGTGAGATCATCCGGTATTTTTCTTTTTCTTTTTGGCTTATTTCGCTGAGCATGATCTCTTCCAGCACCATCCATATTGCTGCAAATTGCATGTGTTTATCTTTTTTGAATGCTGAGTAATATTCCATGGTGTATATGTACCACATCTTCTTGATCCAGTCATCTATTTTTGGGCATTTGGGGAAAAGCACCATTTACTTTAATTCTATGGAGCTACTTGCAGTTTCCTGAAGAAATCCTGCCATGTCCTGTCTCCATTTTTGTTGTCACTGCCTACTTCGGACTAAAGAACTCCTAGTCATCCCTCAAAAGTTGCTTTCTCAGGAAAAAGAGCCCTGACTTTTCACTGCGATATACTTGCCCCTCTGCTTCTCCCACTTGTGCCACATTTCTCCCATATTTGCCTCTTTCACAGGACATTTGCCTGCACTGTGATTACTGAGGTCCTGATCTGCCATCCTTTGAGACTCTAAGATCCTTAGTATTTATATCTCATTTTCTATCTCCAGCTCCTAGCACAGTAAATGGTACTTAGTAAATTTTCAACCAATGCTTATTGAATTAATGAAAAAATAAAAGAGCAAATGGATGGCTTTGAAGCTGCTCCTCGCTTAGTGTTTTCTGCTCTAGTTTTCTTCTCATGTTTATCATTCACTTTTTACATATAATTTTATCTTTTCAGGCTATTGGTATTTATGTCAGCTACCTTAAATAGAATTCTGTCATTTTAATCTAGATGCCACCTCTCAGGATATAAACATGAAAGACTCACTTAAAACTTATACAATGTTATAAACCAATGTCACCTCAATTTAAAAAACACCGCTTTGGGAATGGCTCAAAACTCAAGACATCTGGGCCTCCCCGGTGGCGCAGCGGTTGAGCACTGGGTTGCGAAGCTGCCCGCAGCCTATGCAGCGCCGGTTCGATCCCCGGCTGCTCCCCGGCCACCAGAGGAGGGTCCCGCATGGCACGCAGACCTCTCCTGCCGCCCGCTGCTCCCCTCAGCAGTGTACTTCGGTCCTTCTGCCTGCTCTGCTCCCCACTCTGGCTCTGGTGAATTCTCTTACCCTCCCGCACTTCTGACTGTACCCAGTGCTTGTAAATAAATAAATCTTTAAAAAAACAAAACAAAACAAAAAACTCAAGACATCTGCCTACTTCTGGGACATTTGTAACAGTGAAGGGTGATAGTGCGTAGGCCACCATTGCAACTTACTAAAAGGAAACTACAGCACGATTGCCCTCATCAGACTTTCTAGTCAACCTGAGGTGTCCTGCGAGCGGGATGTTCTGTTTATAGAGATAATTATAATCATGGATAGCACTCTACCTGTTTCTAATGCTTTTTGTCTTGTTTTGTTTTTGATCATTATTGTCTTTTAGAATGAATAGGAACCGGATCAACAATGCCTTCCTTTTGAATGACCAGACTCTGGAATTTTTGAAAATTCCTTCTACTCTTGCACCACCCACGGACCCATCTGTACCTGTCTGGATTATTGCATTTGGTGTGATATTTTGCATTGTTATTATTGCAATCATGCTATTGATTCTATCAGGAATCCGACAACGGAGAAGGTAAGATATTTAAAGGGACTGGTTTAAAGAGCGTTTTCCTGTTTTTTTGGTTACTGGGGAAAAAAACAAGGAGAGAATTTTCCCCAGTTGAAGGGAATACCTTCAATCTGAAATTTTTGGGAAAATGGCGATTTTCAAATTATCACCTATGTTCTTATTTTTAGACACTTTTAAGAGTCCAGTGCACATGACTTAACTATGACTCCTTCCATAGCTATCTTTCCATTCTACAGTATAGGCATGTTTCATATCCAGAGTCAAATTTAATACCTTTTTTATGATTTTGTAAGCTGGATATTCAGAGATAAGCAGACCTTTTGGGTGGGCATTTGTTGGTAGTCATCCACTTCCAAGTGCTAGCAGTTCCACAGTTCTTTCCATGCCTCCCCACCATGGCCTGCCTTTTCTTGGCTCAGGGCCTGCAGGTGGCCATCTTGTTCCACATACTTTTGTGCCTTTTTGTACTTGCCTTCCTTTGATGGACACTCATTCCTTTAGTGCCTATAATATTATATGGAACTGTGTTCCTCAGAGTGACCCTTGAATCAGCTACCTTACATCAGATTCACTTGTTCAAAATGTAGGTTCCTTGGCTCTACCACAGATCTGCTAAATTAGAATCTAAAGGGGTTGCATTTTAATCAATTGCCAGGTTATTTTGATTCACTTAGTTCAAAAACTTCCAATTTCACTACATATTGTATTGCCACTCCTTGAGTAAATTGACCTGGATTCTGGGGGCATTTGCGAATGTTAATGCATAAATTATTGCTATCACTTCAAGAGAAAAGTTCAGAGGAGGATGAAAGTTACTAAGGTAGTAGGGCAGGAGAAGAGGAGACAGGATTTTTCTGCATGATGAAAGGTAAAAATAATTTTGTTTACAAGTACCTATGATTCAAAGGGAAGTGGAGAGAGTCTGCAGCTCTTCACTGGATGCTTTGATATTTCTGAACCTTCCCTTCTGACACTAAGGAAGAGGAGTTCTGGTGAGTGGGGGTCGCAGGGATGTACAGTGGTTTTCGAAAGCGTTGGTGCCCACACGGAACATTTGGGATGTATTTGGTCAAGTGTGTGTTCAACTAAATGCCCCTCCTGAGGTTTACTACTTTCCAAATATTTCATCCTAGTTACTAGCAGAAAGTCATCATTTCAAATCTTGGACTTCGCAAATTCTTTTTCACAAATGATAGGTATGAAATAAATGTCATTTATAGCTAGTTCCCAAAATGAAACTCAAAGGTTAAGATCAACTTTGTACTTGCTTGATTTTCTTGATCTTGGCATGACATGTAATGCAAAGAGACTTGGGACCAGTTGTCTGTCTGTCTTGTTTGTTAGAGCATTAGGAAATATTCTCTTGCAGTATTTGAAAACTCTCATGATTGTAACCTTTGAGAATCCACTCCATCTGCTTGGTTTCCAATGTTCTCATTAGCATGATAAGGTGTAGGTGTTGGAATAATGGACTCTGGAGCTATACTGCTTAGAGTCAAAGTATTTATCTCCTAGAGTCTGCTCTTGTATATAATGCATTAACTGTATGGCTCCCAGGAAGCACAGGCAATGAGTCGGGGAAACCAAGATCAGGAGAATATGATTTATGGTTCTTGAGTCAAGTTGGTTAAATTTTTCTTTGCTGTCCATGCATAGATAACTTTGCTAGAACAACATTGAGGTTTGCTGAAAATAATTAACTTGATGGGATAAAAAGAGTTAATACAGTAGTGAGCTTAGATTGGTGCCTGGCGCACAGTGAGCGCTCAATAAGTGTTAGCTGTCACTATTATTTAATTATCCTGCCATTTGCTGGTCTTTCAGCTAGTTTGTGCTGGGATCAGCTATCTCTTTCCTTCTGAGCAGATTCTGCAGTAATATAGTAATTGGGTGTGTGGCATCATAATCTGTTGCCTGGGAGAAGTGAGGCTGTTGTCACAATCTTGCCTTCACAAATTCATCTCTTGTTCAAACTAGGAAAACAGATGGGCAAATCTCTTGTGTAAACTTGGAGAGCATCAATAATTAGCAAATATAGTCAGGACAATTAGCACAACTTTCTGAAGATAAATTGATTTGCTGTGTTTTAAGTTTGATACAATCTGTGATAGGTTTCTCTTGGGCAAAGTGTTGCTTCAAAGGTGAGGAGAATGTATAGTCTAACACACATTTGATAATTGTGATCAAAGCCCTTTTTAATCATGGAAAAGATAGGCTTGGTCCCTGAAGCCTGTAGTCTTGAAGAAGGTAGTCCAAGAAATGTTCAGCAATCCAATCCATATGGTAGATCATAATGGACGTTTGTGTGGCTCTGATTCCTAAACGTAGAATACAAAGAGCAACCCCGGGCCACTGAGTCACCATGGAGAAGAGCGACAGTCATCGAAGACATGCAGACTTAAACTCGCTATTGAGGAAATTTCTCAAGTAAAGTTTTATTAGCAGTTGTGACAGCTGTGTCAGTGGCAGCATTCCATTGATTATTCAGAGCCACTGGGTAGAAAGTGTGCATTCAGTGAAGCCCAATCAAGGTGGATGTAAATACCAACTATTACCTGAATGACCTTGGTGGAGTCATTTAATTTCCGTGGAGATGTTTCTGTCTGTAGTAGGGCAATAATGTATCATAGAGCTTTCATCAGGATTGGATGAGAGACTGTGTTTAAAGTACCTGGGATATGGTATCCACTAAATAAAAAATTATTATTATTATTCAAGATCAACTGAACCTATTTCTGTGATCAAGCAGTGTTGACAATGATCTCTTTTCTATCCAGGTATTGCCACTGTACTGTATTAAATTGTCCAGTTCAATGACATACTGGGATTTTATTAACAGACACCTATTTTAAAAGACTATAATCATTACTTGACTAAGCAGCTCTCTCTAAAAAGAAATACTAATTAATAGCATTTGTTGATTTCATATCAAGTATGAATTTCCTGAATATTTAAGTCATTGATTAAAGCTTGAACCAGCCACCTTCAACACACCATTACAACTGCCAGCTCCTTGTGAAATAATTGGAGGGGATTGCTTCTCTATTGCCAGCTAGTTGAGTACAGCAGTTTGTGGAAATGACAGATTTGTTGAAGGGAAAAAGTTGGAGAAATAATCTTTTTTTGGTAGCTTTTGGCAACAATTTGAGGTGGGACGGCAACGAAGACGAACTGCATATATTTCACAATGATGTGCTAGGTCTGTGTCCAGCCCAGCCCAGACTAGGCATTTTAGTTCTCTGGCCAGCTTTATGAGGATGGTGCTGCTGATGGTGATAATGATGACGGTGATGGTTGTGATGCTGATGCTGAGATGATATTGATAATGGCGATGAAGTTGATGATGTGATGTATATCAAGAGCACTGGATCAGTGTTCTTGGTTTGGGATTCTGGTCTCTGGTTCTGACGTTTATTGGCTAAGTAGACCTTGAGTAAGTCACATATGGAAAATGGGGATAGTAATATTTTCTTAAATATATGTAGTAATTATGAGAGGACAAAACAAGAGCATACACGCCAGAGCTTTCTACCCTCGAAAGTGCTATGTCAATGTGAGTCACTAGCATCAGCAGCTGAAAGAATTACAAAGTGCTGATTCTATATAGCTTTCAAAATGCTATAAAAGGAGAGTCACAGATACAACACAACTTCAGACTTGCGTGTACATAGCAGAATTGATTTATGAATCTAGTATTCAATCGGTTACCATGTGAGGGCCTTAGGGAGGGGACCTTAATGATGATCTAGAGCCATCTCTCCAGAAGCCAAGGCCCAGAGAGGTAAAAATAACGTATTCCATAGTTGGCCACCCATTCTGTGATGGGAGCAATAGAGTGAATCACGGAGAGACACGTGTAGATAATGTGAATGGTCTTCACCTGCAAGGAGATTGGTGACAAAACCAGGCCAAGGACTCGGGCTGTAGAAGCCTAACGAATGCTCATGGTTGAGCAGAGATGTTAGTAAACTTACTTGGTTTATTTCTGGCTGTATTTCTGCTCCCATAAGGTCAGTAGTCAGCAGAAGCATGTTTGGATTTCTACGAATCTTGCTTTCATACAAGGGAATAGGACAGAGCCAACATTTTCCTACACTGATATTTTACATTCTCATAAAAGTCTTAATTACATGAAAAGTGTATCTAAAATCAGACATGTTATAGCTAATAATTGTTTTCTTTCTCTGCTGTTCTTAAATGTCCATACTCAGTAGGATTCACATACGTGTTTTGAGGGATGCCTGGGGAGACTAAATGGAGTTCTAGCTTACATCCTCTCACCTCTCTTCTTCCTTTCTGAAAGACAAATTGCTCTCCATTGAACTCTCAATCTCTTCATCTCAAAAACAGGGATAGTAATAAAATAAAGTCTGAATAATATCGCGGTGGGAATGAAATGAGATGATCTCTGGTTTCTGCCCTGTAGCAGATACTTGTTGTTATTATTTCTACTCCTCTGTTGCTGCTGCTTCTTCCTGTTACAGGACAGATAGAAGGTGACCTGCCTGCCTCCGCGTGCTGCGGAAATGTCGCTGTGTGGCAGTGCCCCTGAGATGCGTTGGCCACCCTGGAGTTGCCCTCAGAAATCAACCATGCCGATTATGAGGGCAGTGCCAACCCCCACTAGTTGATTCTGTCTTGTTTTAAAATCATATTTGCTCTTTGTCGTCTTTCTGGCTATTCTCAGGCCTTGGCTTTTCATCTCCATCTTGTTTGCAAGGAGACAGAGTTGCTCTTCCTGCTTTTAGCTGCTGCCGCGCCTTTATCTTCAGCAAACCCTGTTCCTCAACACCCACAGCTGCTAGGGCCACTGGGCGCTTCTTTTAGCCCTTCTTTTGCCCCTCTTCTCTCTAGATGTATGACAGAAACCCATTCTCAAGGCTCCTGGAGGTTAGTTTCAGGCATTTTAGTCACTTTTGGAAATTTAAAGTTTTTTTTTCAAATTTTATTTGTGTGCAGTTGTTAATGTAACTGTAGTTTGGGGGGGTACAAGTTCACACCTCCACGTGTGCACGGGCCTCACTCACCTTCTACCAGAGCTCCAGTGCCAAGGCCCTACCCTTTCCCCCCCGCTCTCCCCTCTGCCCCCTACCCGTCTGGTAACCACCAGAGTTCTCACAGAGCCCGAGAGTGGTCTCTGTTGTGTTTGCCAGTTTGTTCTCCTTGGTCATTTATAGTCTACGACTGAGTGAAACCATCCGTTAATTGTCTTCCACTTTCTAGTCACGGCTCTTTTATCCTCTTCACGAGCCATCTGACGCCGCAGGAAGCGCGGAAATCATTAACACTCAACCTTATTTTTCAGGAAAAAGAATTCATGTTTTAAGCAGAACATCAGATCAGACTTATCCAGAAAGATAGCTGAGTTTTATTATCCTTAGTAAGAGCAATGCAGAGGCAGTGAATCAGTTTATTACATGCACACTATGCAGTGTGACAAAGGGCTGTGTTACTGTTAGATAACCTTTGAGCCGCTTATCATGTCCACTAGCCTGCAAGTTACTGACACTGCAGTTTGGGAAGCCCGGCAATGCCAAGACTGAAGGACTGGAGCTAAGTTCACCAAAGAACAATATGTACCTAATTTACCACTGACATAGCTCAGTTTGATAAATTTCCATAGCGATTTCCCTTAGCATCTTTTTGGTTGAGAAATCCTTCTGAGAGAAACTTGCCCTCATCCATTTGTATCTTTTTCAGTTCTTCCCCCTGCCCTTGTGATGCCTGGTGGGTTATTTTTCCTTTGAGAGTGGAGAGGGAGGGTGAGATTCTTTGCAGTGATCTGCATGTCTCCAGATCGCTGCAATTTTTCTTCTGACTCCATAAAAACACTTTTCTAACAGAAGTAACTGGCAAATAAGCACTGACAACCATCGTTTCTAAGACCACGATTGTATTGCCATCTACTTCAGATGATAATCTAGGATCCATAATTACATACACCAGTTGTCTGGGTAATATTTGAATGTTTAAATCTGTTTATTGTTATGGAGAATTATTATTCACTCCCAACCCAATGAGGAGTAATTTGGGGGCAATTTACACAAGCTAGACATTTTTCATGGTAATTTACAAGTATACATTTGCTACTAGGGCTTCATCACCTTCCACCTTCCAATAGTACTCCCGCCTTTTGAGATCCATAAAAATCGGGAGGAGCAAGGATGCATGAAATTTGGAATTTTTCCCTTTGAGTTCTTGACGCTTTAGGACAATGAATGAATGTTCGATACTATGAATGAACAGCCTGTTCACAACAGGAGGGGACAAAAGGTCCTCATCCTCAGGTGGGTGATTTCACCTGTCTGGAGAACCTTCTCAATGCATGAAACTCCAGGTTCACCCAACCTGCACCGATTGCTGATGCTCGGAGCAGTCGGTGCATTTGTTCACCCTGTGAATGGAAAAATCAGCAGCCGATCCTTTCCCAGGCCTCAGGGACCACAACCCCTGGCTTCCAGCATTGGGCCTATAATGGCACATTCAGACATTTGACAGTGGCAGACACAATGGCCAATAGTAGGATCTACAGCGTGGGAATGGCACTTCACATTCTTTATGAGCTCCAGCTATTTAAAACGATCTAATAAACCATCAGTGAATTGTGTGGCAAGATCTATGCTAATTTTTAATTCTAATGGTAGGAAAATGAATATTTCTTTCATCAGTTTGAAAAAATAAATATAATGCATTTGAAAACATACAATATCATCATTTGTTTCATCATTTTAAGGTTCCTTTTCCTTTCCTCTCTCCATGTTTGTACAGAAGAACATGCATTCTCCTCCTAGGTTGCAATCATTCTCTTATGTGCTTTTAGGCAAAGCAAGGGACCATCTGAAACGGATGACACTGAAGATAAGTGTGAAAACACAGTCACAATTGAAAATGGCATCCCTTGTGATCCCCTGGACTTGAAGGGAGGGCACCTAAATGATGCCTTCATCACAGAGGATGAGCGACTCACTCCTCTCTGAAGAGCTACAGTTTTGCTATCCCAAGAAACTCAACACTTGTTTCTGTGCAATCGCTGAGCATCACAAATCACTAAGGGCAGGTTATATATACTTTGCCATCCTTCTTCTGTAAGAAATTTTGAATGTGCATGAAAGTGAAAGGAAATCAGTTATACCCGTGAGGACCAGTGGAATCATAGCTGTTAACTACGCAGAACATTCTGAAATATTTCTCTGATAACACAGTGTTTGAATGTAGTCATGTGGTGTTTATAGCTATTGATTTAAAAATGCCTTTGTATTTAAGCATTTCTAGAAATAAGGTAGGGCCACTATATATATATTTCACACTTTGAAGACCTAAGGAAAATTTTTTTTTTCAGAAAAGAATACATATAATATGGTATAGAAATCATTGAAAGTGGATCCTTTTTGAATATTGTTTATATCACTCTGTATATGATTAAGTAAGCAAGAATAAGAAGTAATTATTGTAAAGGTAATGGATAGACATGGGAGTGTTGATAGACAAGGTGGAATTTGATCCTGTTATCATACCAGTAGTTGCTTACTTATTTTCTGACTATCGGTCTCTAATAGGGCAGCTCTGTTCATTGACTATTTCTGTGACTTGTACAAGTACAATCTGTGTTAATTTAATAAAGTGCTAATCATCTGATTGTGTGACTGATTGTGGCCTGAGATTCATTTTCATACTGTGGAACAGGGAAGCCTATTGGTTATGTTTAACATGCTCTACAGTGTTAGAAATGAGTTGTTTTTGTTGTGTGTATCCTTGCTTGGAGACACTTTGTAGTTTTTGGACATGATTCTACTAGATAGGTCATAGATCATTCTAAACTATAATAATTATTTTACATTTATTAATAGAAAGTGCTCGGTCTCCACTGCTATCACCCATAGTTCAGGTTACAACAACACAACAGTCTCTCCCTCACTTTCCTGCCTCCAGTGTTGCTCCCTTAATACAGACTCGAAGAGAGGCAGTTGGATGCAGATTTCCTGGGGAGTGCTCTCAGGAGACACGCGGGTAGGAAGTGAGGGAGGCAGTGTGGCAGACAGACTCTAAGGTGACCCCCATCATGCCCAGATGTCCTAATGTTCACCCCTTCGTGTAATTCCCTCCCCTTGTGAGGACAGGGCCTCTCACTTGATTCCAGTGAATAGAATCTAGCAAAGGTGATGAGACGTCACTCCTGCGATCACTTTATATTATGCCCGCATCTGTCTTGGTAGCAGACTCGTCCTAAGGCCTCTCCTTGCTGGCTTGATTAAGCGAAGCCATGCTGGGGAAGCCCACATGAAAGAAACTGAGCGGACTCTAGGAATTGCTGGCAGCCTCCCAATACCAAAGGCAGCCTCCAACCAAGAAAGAAGCAGGAGTCCTCAGTCCTGCAATCCCAAGGAAATGAATTCTGTCAACAACTGGAGTGAGCTTGGAAGCTTATTTCTCCCCAGTCAAGCCTTTGGATGAGAATGCAGTTGGGCCAACACTATGCCGGTGACCTGAGTGGAGAACCCAATTAAACTGGGCCCTAACCTCTGGCCTATGGACATTGTGACATCACAAATGTATATTTTTTAAAGTCACTAAGTTTGTGGTAATGTAAATGAATAGAGTAGATTAGGCAATGGGAGAAGTAACCAGCAAACATGTTTATATCAGAAGCCTCAGTCCAATCTTCAGGGGGGTTAGGAGCTGGGTTCACCCTAATTGAGATAAAGCAGCTAGGCTTTAGTATCTCCATGTTTGCCAGCCATGGCCATGGGTGCTCTTTGAGAGAGGGTTTGCCCTTGTGAAAGGCTCTTCTCTGTGGCTTGGGTCAATTCCCATTGAAGGACTCAACTGGGAGCCATCAAACGCCATTATTTCCAGAAGCTAGGGATGGGTCTATGGCCCCTGAAGAGGAGGCTGATGGATCCCCAGAGTATCCACCAAACCCTCCCCAGTCCCTCGTGATAATGTAGCTTGAAAGAATATCCAAAATGCAAACCTGACCCTGTTGATTCCTAACAGAAGTTTTTAAATGACTTCTTACTGGATTTAGGATAAAGTCAGACCCTTAACATTGGGCCTGTTGTGGTTTGGCCCTCGCCTTCCTCTCTAACGTCACATCTCACCCTTTCTCCTCTCTCTCATCCAATCAGAGTGGATCTCTCACTACCAGGCCTTTGAGCGAGCTTTCCCCTCTGCCTGGAACACACTTCTCTCTCGGCCACTCTTCCAGCTTGTCCTTCGGGTGTCTCAAACATATTGCCCTCTGAGAGGTCTTTGCTGGATCTCCCAGCTGTGTGCCCTTAGGATGCCAAAATAATTCTGCTCATATCACAGTATAATTATATTTAAATGTGTTTTATGGAGAAAGCACACCACAAAGGCAAGAGTGCAGTGGGACCCATGAAAGTCCTCATATGTAGCCTTGTCTGCAAAATCAAACACAGCCCCTGTCCTCATGGAGCTGAAAGTCTACCTCATCAGAACTCAATAAACGTGCGCTAATAAACAAGCAAACAAGATGACAGTTGTCACAATCTTAAAGTCTTGTCCCTTCTCAGAGCAAAACCTGTCTTTCTCTCTGCATGCTGAAGAGTTGGGGTGTGTGGGTGCAAGAGTCAAACTTTGACACCATTTTGGCTTGGTAACCATATACAGTTTAATATTATTAGGGTTTTCTTATTTTTAGGAGAGGGATGGGATTTGACCTTTTGGTTGATGATGTATAAATTAGTATATAATTTTTTACCTTACATCCTCTTGAGTTGTATACTCTAGTATTGGGTAGCTTTGCAAATGGAAGTCTTTAATTGGTGAAACATCAGTCTGAATTTGATCAGCATGTACTGACAAGCATAATCCAAGAGATACATTCTCAATAAGGTGGAAATTTTTTCTTGGTTGAAACCTGTTTAGGTATCATGATAGTTTAGAGACCTCCAAAAAGTCATAGTATATAAATAGATATGGAACATATCTATGGTATTAAAATCTCATGAGTGAGCTATGAGGAAACCAAGAAGTCTCAATAATGGGACAAAAGATTGAGAAACGCTGATCTTGGATATGCTGCTGCTTCTTTTTTTGGGGGGATATGCTTCTTATTTTGAAGGCATTAGATGGGCCATTTTGATCACTGGTTCACTGTCTTCCCTGTCTGTGTATTCTGATAGTGAGAGGATTTACTCTACTTGCTAAGTTCTGCTCTACTAAATATCCTTGTTGGGGAAATGTCCTATGCCAGCAGAGATGTGCTGTGAACTTGACAGTCAATATAACAGCAAAATAGAGCTTAGGTCTCCTGCCTACTGCCTTTGACAAACACTCTGGGTAATTAGAAAGCAGTCAATCATCAACTACACCTCTCATTTTTAATTTAATGATCCTGTAATGTGCCACAAGGGAACACATTGCAAAGAGATATGTACTGGAAATAAAATGTTGTAAAGCAAGTGGAAATGTAGCTGTCAGGCCAGGCTTCAGGCCCTTAGCAAAAACTACAATGAAACTGGAAAGGCAGAAGCACCTGTAAACCAAGTCATTACAGTGAAGGTTGGCTGCGTTAGCAATATCTGGTCTTGTTTCACAGGAGAGAGGTAAATGTGGGTAACTTGTTTTTTTGGTGTAGTTTCCACCAAAAAGTGTTTTCCATCGGGACTAACCAAATCAGAACATCACTATTTAAGAGAATGCTATGAGTTCTTGTATTTACAATGCTATGGGATCAGATTTCAGACATCAGTATCACTAGGAGAAATATACACAGTTATCATTCCTGGATAAAGAACAAGGAAAAGAAGAGAACATAGGTTAAGAACCAAAGAGAGAGGGCCTTCCTGGTGGCGCAACAGTTGAGCGCTGGGTTGCGAAGCTTTCTGCAGCTTCTGCAATGCCAGTTCGATCTCCAGCCACCAGCGAGGGTCCCACATGGCACGCAGACCTCTCCTGCTGCCCGCTGCTCCCCTCAGCAGTGTACTTTGTCTGTCTGCCTGTTCTGCTCTGCTCCCCGCTCTGCCTCTGGTAAATTCTCTCGCCCTCCCGCACTTCTGACTGTACCCAGTGCTTGTATAAATAAATAAAAATAAAATCTTAAAAAAAAAAACAAAACCAGAGAGTACAAAATCCCCCCAAATCCAAATTCCCAATCCTTACTTCAAATTCATGGGGCCCCTTAACACAATATTTTATGGCCCATTTTATATCTTGATTTCCTTCATAAAAATAGTACATGTCTAGTTACCTCAATAACATGAATGTGCATAAATGTATTCTCCCCTGCTGTCCTTCCCTGCTCCTTCCTGCCTTCCTTCTTTCCTGCCTGCCTCAAGAATTTGTTGAATGTCCACTCTATGTAAGATAACATGCTAGGTTCAGGAAGTGTAAACAGAAGAAGAATGTTCTAGAAGGGATCCATTTGTTTTTTCATGACAAGACTAAATTTATTACAGAGAATACCATTCTCCTTTAGGGAATTTTGACTTGAATGAATGACTAATTTCTATTTGTTAGTGAATTATTTTTGTTCTTTATTTTCATAGCACTGTTTGAAACATAATTTTATATCCATCATAGGTAGAGAATAAGAGCCATTCATAAAGCACAGCATTAGCCTCTTCTTTATTATGACACGGTGGGAACAGTAGAGTTCAAATCGTTGGTTCATGTCTTTGATACTGGAAGTCAGGAGGAGAGTTTGGCCAGTAGCAGAATGACACCCGTGTCCCTGGATGTGATTTTTTTCCATAGTTGCCCCTTGATATCACTTCTATTTTTGAAAAATAGTTAACATAAGGCAGTAATATGGGAATGGGGTGTTGGATGGAGCAAGGCATTTAAATCAGACCCAGAGAGGGTAATGCTATTTTATTTCCAAGTGTCTCAGTCTTTTAACCCAATCTAAAGGTAGGTTCCCAGAACCACATGGCTGGGACATATCTAAGACCATTGGAATTGGTAGCACAAGGGGATGTCATGGGACTTAGGTGGGCACTAGCCACTGTGGTCAGGCAGGCCTGGAAGATGCCATTGTCAGTGCCTGCTACAGTGAACAAGTGGCTCTTATTTGCAAAATTTAGCAGAAGTTCAATAAGACTCATGTCTTAATCACTCCTGGCATCTATCTGTTACCCTAAGCATTAGTACACAGTCTACCATAGTTAGTGGACAATGCAGTATTGTGACAATATGCAGTGTGTATCAAGTTTGCACTTGAAATCTTAAGAGGTTGAACCAGATGAAACTGCTGCTATACAATCATTTTTTACCTATAATAAAGGCAGTTTCCTATGATTCAAGATATTGGTTTGCTAGTCAATTCTCTAGAATTCAGGAAAGCTATTCCCCATAGAAACATGTCATACCTGGTGAGATGACCTCAGGCCAGCTCACAGGAGCACGCGAAAATTCTGAGAGAGCTGAAATAGTGTACATTTATGACCAGCTTTGTAGTGCCAGCAATTTAATGGAAACGAACAAAGGAAGTCAATTTCGTGAGAACCCACTTTGATTTTATTTTGATTATCAGTGCTTGAGGAAAAGCAGGTTTTAATGGAAGAACAGGAAAGTACTTGGAAGTGGTGAAAGGAATTTATAGACATTCTGAAGGTCTTTAGAACATGATGACCCAGTTCATTAAAAAATACATCTGCATTCACTGTCTGGGTT